CCCCCCCCCCCCCCCCCCTATAATTATCTGCTGCTATTAACTTGCAAAAATACTAAAACACTCAAAACCCTACAACGTAACACAAACCAGTCATACCAAGAAAGAAAAGGCAGTATTATTAGATTTTTATTCTTCTCACTCTGTATTTTCAATCTGAAAGAATTCTATATACTCTTTGTGGGAAGGTATTTTTGAAGGGGCATGAGTTGTTTAAGAAACTTTCTGAGTCTGTGCTACTCAAGAGATGTCAGATGGGAAAAAGCAGTATCAGACAGGGCATTGCTTACTGCTCTACTGCACGTTACAAATATTTGACAATGGCAGAATTACTTTTGCAGAACACGTAGTGAGCTGGATGGCAGAACCACCTGGTTTTCCTGCCCATCATTTGCTCTGCAAATTAAAACTTCTTTGCCCCCAAATAAATGAAAAATTAGTTTTCAGCCTGATCAGCTACCTTGCCGTTGTCCAGTTACACAAATGGGCAAGTTAGAAAACATGAGTGTGTTGAAATTAGGTAAAAAATGCCAAAACCTCAGGAAAGAAAACTGGTTTGAGTAACTCATTCGTAACGGGTTAATCAGAAATCTAATCCATTACTAAAACTCAGACTCTGTGCTAAAAATTTTAATGTAGTAATTAATGCAGACATGTTATAAATTCAAGTTCTCCATTTGTTCTGACTCTGTTCAATCTGCACAGCCATTTCTAAGAGAATCTGAATTCTTAAGGTATGACTGTTCTTACCAGAATCAGCCCAGAGATGGCACTCCTCAGTCTTAAGAAGTTGCTTGGAAGGAGTAAATTTGTTGATCATGCGTAGAAAATGTTTTTAAATTGCACATTCTAGATTTGACAGCCAAGTGAAATCAAAAGTCTTCTAACAGTAGCCTACCTTCTTTTGGGTAAAATAACATGACACTTGAAGACAAATAGTTGATTTCCAAGACGCATCTAAGAATGTACATGCTCACTATTAAGAAATAAACATCAATAAATAAGACTTTTGGATTATTTAAACTTGAAATAAAGTGATCAGTAAGAGTTCCAAGGAAGCCCAGCTTTCCTTGCTCTGTAGCAATTAATCCATGCAAATGGTGTGACCATTTAATCCTTGTTCATAATTTTTAAACAGAATGTAAGGAGAGTCCCCAGGCTCAAGCAACTGGATCAGGCTGCATCGATAGCATCACAGCAAAAAGAAACTGCAAAGCCAACAATGTAGCCAGAATCAGTGGATTAAAGAGCTCCTGTGTGTCAGCCCTAACCCCTCTCCAAGATCAACTACTGGTGTACAGCAAGGGCAGCACCTCACATCTGTACAGGAGACCTTTCAAAACAAACAGATGTAAATCATGTCCTCAAGGTCAGACTTCCACTGCTGCCTGGAGTGAGTGGTTATTTCACCCAAAAGATATCTCAACAAGTAAGAAATTAACTTAAGTTTAAAACCAATTATTCTACATGCTAATGTATCTGGTAAGTAGAGTACAGTAACTGGCTACATACATACACACCACACATATATGCTATACCTATCTCTCACAATCTGCTTTCTATTCATTTTCAATAATGCTTGTGCATACACTACATACAAAACACAAACTGAGCAAGCTTCAAAAGCACATTTAGTCTTCAGTAAAAAGCTAACAGTAAGAAAAAAGTGAGCACACACATTTGTCTTCTGAGATTTTTAATTCAGTGTAAAAACATTTGAAATTTACAGTATTTACAAGTAGCTCAGTTACAAATTTCAGAGAAGAATCAAAATATGTTCAGCAGGCTCACTGTGGATGTTTCTGAAGTGGGGAAGACTTATTAAACATTAGAAAATACTTTCTAGGGGTAGCAAACTCCTAGAATAAATTGCCTGATGGGGTTGTGGAGTCTAAACATGAGCAGGACAAGTGATGCAGTTTTAGGGAGAAAAATGAACCACAGACCCCTGGAGGTCCCACCTAGGCCAATGATTGCATCCACTTAGACAACAGAAAGTGTATTAATATACAAAGGCTTCATAGTTAAAGGACTGATTTAAAAAAAAAACAACAACCCACACTAAAGAAATCTATGCAGGTCACTCATTTCACACTTGGTGTTGGGTTTGCTGTTTTTTTTTTAAGATATGCTGAAATTATTAACGTGAACTAAATACAATAGCCCTTATTTATTAGTACTATACTGTTTACATGGCACCACTTCAGAGCAACTGGTTATTTCTAGCATTGAGAAAAACGGCTCTTCTCATGACTACACACAAATATGCATGTCTGTTCTAAGCAACTGGGACACTACCAGATGTCTTGTTTCCACAGATGTCAGTAGATTTGACAAGAATGATTTTTTAAAACTACATTATTGATTCATGTGGAAAAAGCATAAGGCAGAACATCTGATACTTCTGTGCCACCAGTATTACCACAATACTGGTTAACTGCAGATCTGATAATAAAAAGTGACTATGTCCACACAAAAACGAGAACACTAAAGTAGTTCTTAGAAATGTTGTCAGGTATTAGGCCAAAGTTTTGTGATACAATTTTTCTCACAATGGATGTAATGTTCTAGAGTCTTACATTCCATCATCTCCCAAATCATCTTTAGGAGACAGGAAGGGAGGAATGCTGAGCAGCCCTGACAAGAGTAAAAATCACCTGAAACATCTTGAAGTGGTGAAACCTTCTACATGTGACATGCTGGATAGCTGATACGTCTGTAAAAGGCATGAATATTAAATGATTTTGAACCTGTGTTAGGCACTTCAATATCCCATGTCAAGGTGCTATGCATGAATATCCAGAAGCTTATGCAAACTACTTTATCACAAGAGTATTAATTTATTAATTTAAATTAATTTACTAGTTAAGTGAAAATGCATAGATAAATACTACCTGACAGCTTTCAAGCCATGTGGGCTCAGATATTTAGTAATACAGAATTGCAAAAGCAAGGCTAACTAGCTGTAGCTGGAAAGGTATTTCCATGTACCCTGTCCCAAGAATTCCTCACATTGCAGGTTGCTGGGACTGTATCCTAGCAGAAATACCATCATGCACTTGCCCTGTTTTTAGGCTCTCAATATTGCTATTAGCAACTGCTGGAAGCAAGACAGGGAGAACTAGACTTACAGACCCAGGGAACACATTCTTGTCTCACTGTGGCCTCACATCTTCAGCTTGTCACCACTCATAGAAGAATCTGGTGCTTTGCACACCCTTAAACATCTTTATTTCACAATTATAAAACCTGTAAGTTGTCCTGAGCAATTTAAACATCTAAACCAGGCCCGTGCTATTGGCTACTTGTTAAGTACACAGCACACAGAAGACATACCTGCAGGGAGGGTGATAATTCAGTGGCTTTTATAATTACAGTTCAGAAATCTTAATTTAAAAATAGATTTACTTGTGATAGTTACAAAAGAGGTCAGTTGTGCACATATATATGTTGTATATCACAAAGCACTCATACTCCTGTGCTTGATGTTCATCTTACAGAGTAACAGTGCCTTTCCATTGTATGTAACCACCCACAGTGTCAAATTTTTCCTATATGCTCATGATGTACTGGTGTTGTTTCTCATCAGTCTTAACCTTCTTGTCCTTAATTATATCCTGGCACCTGGCTGGTCCCTTTTACTCACATAGGACTACATGTGACTTGAAAGATTTGGGACAATGTACAATGTAGTAGCACTGAAGGGGGAAGAGAAAAGAATCTGAGACAGTCACTTCCTTTAAAAATATATCTCTCTGCCCTCACACAGGCAATACCTCATACTTCTTCCAGTGTGGCAGCAAGGAAAACCTTTCAGAAAACAACATCTCTTATGTTCACACAAATCTAAGAGGCCTAGTCAATTATTTTCCTAACATGGCCAGGGTTTCACCACATACAGTTAAGAATATAAATCTATGATTTCCAAGAAATTACATACTTCTGACAGAACAGTTTTGAGGCAGATACACCAAACGGAATGATTGTGGCTAATTCCCAATCTTCTTGGAGAACAGCAACATTTTTTTTGGACAAAACTGATGGAAGGAAAACAAGCTACCAATTACAAGAAGATTAAATACTCCGAGCAGTGGCAAAGAAGATACTCAGCAAATTGTCTGATCAGAAACACCTTCCCAGAAAACAAGCTAACCTCACAGTTACACCCTATTTCTCCATTCTGAGCCAAGTTTAACTTAAACACCTGACATTTATAAACTCCTGAGGTATTTGCTGCAGTTCATATTTATCAACAAACCTATAAAACCTGAAAGAAATGACACCAACTTCAAGCTCTGCACAAGACACAGCTGCTCATCTCCTTAGTAGACTACTACTTTAAACTACTAAAAGCATGCTTCAGTGGTGAACCATATTATTAACTGAAGTTATTTTCTGTACTTCTGCAGTGCAGATATCTACACACTTATGCATCCTAAGCAGTAAGTCATCAGCATTGCCTTCCAGGAACTCAACCAAGAACATGACATTGTACAAGTTACTAGGGGGTCTCACTACTTTTAAACATAATGCAGAAGCAAATCAAAGCTAGCTAAACACATACTGAAATCTTTCTAGTTGGACTTTCAATTACACTATTAACTACAAAATTCACCTGTTTGATTTGGTTTTTCCTAAAACTATCAAAACCCTCCTAGAAGATGTTACTTTCCTGTGAGTAGAGAAGGGAAAAATAGCTATTGTCTTTAAATCTCTGGGAATCGATGGTTAATGTCATATCTGCAGGAATAGAACCAGCCCAGAAAATGCTGTATAAACTAACTTTATCTTAGGAATACTCACACCACTGAGAAACATAAGGACAGAAGCACTGTGATACTGGTTTTCTTTTAAAACCACCTGCTATAACATGCAAATGTTTCTGATAATCCTAAAAAAACATCTTTTAAAACAAAGACATAATTTTGTATAACTGCACCACTAAAACATCCTTTTTTTCTGAACTAAGCTTCATTAAGAATGATTGTAAACATTTCCTACAAATAGAAAATACCCATCAAATTTTGATTAAAGGAAATCTGATTGCAGACATTAGACTCAAAGTTTTTAAATGTAAAAAAATAAAATTCTCATCCTTCAGTTCTCAGAACTACAATCTCATGCTACAAAATTCAGAGGGCTGTCAAATAACAGTAACATGAATTACAACTTACCACACTACTTTACTATTGTCTTGAGATGTATTTGTAGAGGGAAGTAATTTGGTGTGGTTCCTGAGTTATGTCATAAAAAGGGGAAAAATGGTATTTATTTTCAACCTGCTAGAAAACATGTTTGGAAGAAGTCCTGTTTATTTCTAGTAAAAAAATAAATCATACTGTTCTGAGCATTAGGATAAAAACACTCTGGAGAAAAACAGGCTTTTGAATTTTGAAAACATTTTCTAAATAATTTGTGCAACCACCCATGACATTTCCCCCCCCCACAATGGTGATGAGCCAGCATGCTAATACAGAAATTATCCAGAATGTGACATGGTTACACAATGTATCTAGGTGATCCAAAAGGCTGCAGCTATATGCAAGTAACAGCACTTTTAAAAATAGCTTTTTTTTAGCCACAGAATTTATGTTACAAAGGAGTTCTATTGTTTACTCACTGAAATGTACAAAGTAACGGTCCTAGAAATACCTACTTATTGGAAATACCTACTTTTCCATTACATGCAGTTAGTACATACAGGAAATACATACAGTTGCAGAAAAAGACTACAAAGAACTGGTTCTTGGCTATGAAATTAGATTTTCAAGATATACAAGAAAAGATCATCGCCATATTCTTACTTAAAAGAAACAGTAACATTTAATTTAATACAACAATACTCCTGAAGAGAAAAAGCAAGAGAATACCTCAATAAAGGGAAAAACTTGCAAATATTTCTTGCACATTTCTATCATAACCAAGTGAAGGACTTCTTAAGCATTATGTTAATCAAATTAATTTTGAAAAGGATTTGAAACATAAGCGAGTAATGATACAGCTGCTGGTTTATGCTCCTTCATGAAGTCTGTTTTCCAGAGAGTACTGTTAAAAAAAACAGAGCAGTATTTCAAATAGGAAGCAGTGAGTTATGTCATATACACAACCACTTCTAGAAGTGGTTATTATGAAATTTCCCCCCACTTTTTATGCTGTTCTCAGGTACTACTTTCAGCTCCATTTCAGAATCCCACTGTAATAAGTTGTGTACTAGTTACTTTGGTTGGATTAGAGCAAGTACAACTTGTAGATGTTCATAATACAACCTAGACTTTCTATAATCTTCAATAATGCTGTTCTTCCTGAGTTCTTCCTGAGTTCTTCCATAATGCTGTTCTTCCTGGTTAAATATGTCATTGATGTTGGTTAGTCAGTGGGCCTGTAAGCAATCACAGGCTGTTCTTCACCAACATCTATCAGCATATCTAATGGAACATGAGGCTTGTCATAGCCAGAAAACTTGACACAGCTGCTTGGAAGGACTGTTTGTTCTATTTCCGTGGCAGAAACCTCCAGACCTGCAGAGTTATTACATATATCCATTTGGCTACTGTCAGAAATGAAGTAACTCTCTCTCACTTTGCTATTCTGTTCATCATCAGAAGATACCTCCTCTGTGCTTTCCTTCACAGACATCTCTTCTGCTTTGGCTGGTGCCTCTAACAGAGGAACAGAAGATGGTCTTTCACTGGAATTCTCAGGACTAACAGTTTCTTCTTTAGGCTCTACCTCCAGTGAAGTTATTTCATCATTCCCTGTCAATGCTGACTGGTCTGACGTAACACTTATTACAGATACATATTTTGATTCAGATTTTGATTCTAGAATGTTGTCTGTGTTCAGGTTTCTTATCACGCTGACCTTAAATGGAAAAAACACAAAATCAGTTTTATTTCCACATAAGCTATTGATTTATTGGCTTTATCTACTGTCAAAGTTTAGAGGTTAAATAAACAAACAAAAAGTTCATAAAACAAATTTAATGTCATCACAACCAATCCCAACATAAATTAGCAAAATTAGGATCTGGCAAGGTTGTTAGCCTATATCTATCACTTCAACTCTTTCATTAAGACTTTTATGCAAGCTCTCAAAAATGCTTTCTATGTGCAAACACATTTGCAAGAATCAAATCCATTTCATGTCACCCACTGTATTTTAGTCATTTGAAGTTTCCAACGTAGATGAAAACAGCAAAGGAAAAAAAAAGCTGCAATACTCTTCAACTAGCTATGGAGGCCTTTCATACTCTATAACTAATGAGTGTAACTTGCAATGACAAATATTTTCTGGCAACTGCCTCAATTGGGACAGAAGTGAACTTTTGAAAGAGATCTGTAAAATGGTGCGAGAACCTTTATGCATACCCAATGGTCATATCTATGATGAAGTCTTCCTAGTGATGTCTCCTGGGCCACTAAGCATTCCCTCAATGCTGTGACTACTGTTTCACTTTGAAACCCCTCCACAGGAAGAGCATATTAATTCCTTCAATAACCAGGCTCCAGCTTGTTTTAAATGATTATGACATGACTTCAGGCTGTTTAGATTCTCCTGGGGTTTTTTGTATATATATTTTTTTAAAGGCATTTTCAAGATAAAGGCATTTTCAAGAATACATATAAAAAACAAAGAAACAAAGCAGGGTAAATTTTCAGTTGTATGATGGTATTCCCTAAAGCTAAGAGAAAGCATAGGGAGAAAGGGTTAATTAATAGCATCCTTTTCCAAATTTCATAATTTACTGTATGTGTGTATCACAGATTATCAAGTACTACAGATAGTTTCCTAATAAAATGTACACAGTCCTGTTTTTTTGAGATACTATTGTGGTTTAACCCCAGTCAGCAACTAAGCACCACCCTGCAGCTGCTTGCTCACTCCTCCTCCCTCCCACTGGGATGGGGAAGAGAATAAAAAAACCCACAACCCACAAAACTAATGGGTAGAGTTAAGAATTGTTTAATAACAAAATAAAATAATAACAATTGTAATGAAAAGGAATATAACAAAAGAGAGAAAATAAAACCCAAGAAAAGACAAGTGATGCACAGGGGGTCACCACGCACTGACCAATGCCCGAGCAGTGATCTAACCCCTGCCCACTCCCCCCTATTTATATACTGAGCATGTCATCCTACAGTATGGAATACTCAGAGTAATTTCCATGAGTATGGAAAACACCCATTTGTAAGAAGCAGATGCTTAAAAGATAGTTGCAGAAACCAGAATACAATCAATAATGCACAGATACTAAACTGTTATGAACAGCTGGTAGAATTAAAGTACATTTTGAAAACCGGTTTATACAGATACATGGAAAACTATTGGATACTTATGCTATACTAACATTGACTTTGAAGGGATCAGCATCTGTAGGGTTTTTTTGGGGTAGCAAAAATCTGACTCCAACAGTCACACAGTAAGTGACAAGAGAAGATAAATCTCTGTGTAAACTGGAATACTTGAGGAATGTGTACTGAAACAAAATACTATAGAAACTAAGGTTAAAAGCTCCATTTACAACTTCCCATCTCTCCTCATAGCAGTAAATACTATACTAAGGTTAAAACCAAAAATCTGTCTTTTTCGGATTTTCACATGACTCTAAAAAATCAGTCTTAAAATAATGTTAAGGGAACACTTGTACTCTACACAGGTTCTGCATTTCACAGTGCCATTTGACAATGCTTAGAGATAGACCCCGAGGATGAAATAAGTACTGCTATACAAGTACATCCAAGAGTTTTGCTCTCAAAAAGGAAATCTTTTTTCTTGGTGAGTTTCTGAACAAAGCAACATAGTGCAAAGACACTACTCTTCCCATCCGTGAAAGGAGGAAGCCATCAGAAGAAAAAAACTCAGTTTCCTGGTATCAAAGGTTCTTTAAGAGTCACTGAATCATGACTACAAGACAATTTAGCAATTCATGCAGTTATTTCTAGCTTCAAAAAGAAAAATCACAGCTTACTACACTAACTGGAATGCCATTCAAGCATCTCAAGTAACAAGGATAAATAAGATATGGTTACTATTTGATGAAAAGTATTTACCATACATAAGTTAATATTTTCCTTTCATGTAAATTATCTAATACTAGCAAACTGACAGCCAGTGAGCTTAAGCTGGATGTCAGCAATATTTCCTGGCACGTGCAGGTGCTCAGGTATCTTCCTGTCTCCAGTGAGAGCACCTGAGCTTTCAGATCGTTCACTGTCTGTTGAGACTAGGGTGGACACTGTTGGAAGCCAGTGTCAAGGGGACATATAAATAACATATCCCAGTTAAGGTAATCACATATATAAATAACATATAACAGTTAAGGTAATCAGCAGTTTCTTTCTTAACTTCCTTTTCTAAGGACTTGTCCACCTACAAATTTTGAGGTACACATCTTCTGGAGGAGAGTCTGAGAAGTCCATTTCAAATCTTGTTAGGACATTGACAAAATCTGCGTTACCTTTGCATGGTTCCACAACAAATTAATGCTATGTAAATGTATAAGTAGGAGACTATGTTACTGCCCTATAGATGCTCAGAGGAAAAAAAAATCTTCCCAAAAGATAATGAAGCAGCTTCTCTCTTTTAAGATGACAATTACTTGTGGCAAGTATCAGTCAAAATTTACAAGAACAATTACAATTTCTCCAAATCAGAAATATATGTTGTATAGCCAAAAAAGCCAGAGTCAAAGACAATTGTTTCATGAATATCTGTAAGTGTTCTACAAATACAGTGAGAGAACAGCCTTGTCATTCCTGTCAGGCTCAGATAAAGCACCATCAGACAGCAGAAAAGTTGACTTAAGTATGAACGAAAAGTAAAAACTGATGCTTTTCAATGAGTCTTTCTTATAGATTGGGTGTTTTCTATCCACTAAAATATTTGCCACCATTTAAAGCTAAGAGGCACTGAAAAAAAGACAGTGAAGTTAAAGCAGAGGAAAATGCCCAGAGCGTATCAGTAAATCAAGGTCAGGCTCCTTTTAAAGTGGATAAGCCATTATCACAAATCTTACAGCAAAAATCTAGCACAGTACAAATCACGCACAGGACAATCTGGAATGACTGAAGACAGTGGGTGGAAGGAAATAGCCTCTTTAAACACTTTTTGTGAGATAAATTAGAGAAAATTAACTGCTCTAACTACAGCTAGACTGCTGAAACATCAGATTCTTGTGATCCGGCAGAAGACTACCAAGATGAAGTCTTGTAAAGGAATATGTTCCATTTCACTAGATGCATATTCCTGGTAGGATCCTACTAGGAATCAGAATGTTTAAAACATTTTCTCTCATGAAGGTGATCATTCAACGCCCATACTGAAAGATAGTTGCACTGTGGAAGTAGGACCTGTACATGACTGACATGAAAGTCACAAACAGTACAGAAAAGAGAATATAAAAATTCTCAAGATCTAAACAGCAGTGGATTTTTTTCTTTTCTTTGGGTATGTGAGATTCTCACATCAAGCAGGCAGCTGCCTGATGGTTACTCTTACTTTGCCTTCTGTTGGAGAACTTCAACTTGCTAAAAGCCACTCTGATGATGGCATCTACTTTGAGCCACCAGGAAGCAGATCACTAGAAGGCAGCAGTCCTAAGGTAGGACAGCTTATCTAGCCTTGTAACAGATGAAATAACTCCCTAAATGTTTCATTTTCAGACAAGCTCAGGTAAAGCACTGTGGTCATAAACTGTATGGAAAGAAATGTCTAGTACACATTCAAAGGTCAGTGACAGGCCCCTCAGCTCCAAAAAGTCCACAGAGATAACTCCGTATCATTAAACATTATTTGTATTAATAATTTACATTTTAGTCATTAATTTAAAAGAGTAATCATAAAAATAACTAATCATTAATCATAAGTTATTAATTATTCACATCAGCTGTATCGAAACTATCCTTATGAGCTCTGCAATTTGTATTTCTCACTAGAGACTTCAATGGAAATGGACAGAATCACATAATATCCCGAGTTGGAATAGACCCATGAGGATCACTGAGTCCAACTCCTGACTGACTCTACTTAGGGTCAGCCTAGAAGTTAAACCATGCATCTAAGAGCATGGTCCAAATGCTTCCTTAACACTGACAGGCTTGAGACCGTGACCACCTCCTTGGGGAACTTGTCTCAGTGCTTGACCACCCAGGTAACATTTTTTTTATAAAGTTAGAGGTTTCATTCTGCTCCTTAGCAACAAAGCATGATATGGAATGTGAATCAGACTGTGGGATACTGGAACCTAAGAATCACAAGATAACATGTAGCCCAGTAAATTGAGAATAGGGCTACACAAATGATTTTCTACAAGGTGCGCTAAAGTGTGAACTTGGAGCATGCAACAGGAAGCTCACAGGAGTTAAGGAGCACAAATTCTATTTGTACAATATTCTTCTTTCCAATGCCTTAGATGCGATATCCACAGTAGTAATGGGAAGCCAGAATAACTATGGATCCATTGAGCATAGCACTGTCATTGTGCATGAGCTGCCTTTTGCTATAATTAATGGTCTTCACAAGAATTACTGTGTGTCTATGTAGGAGATAATGTTATGTATTCAGGCAGTTATGTACTGGTGTGAACATGAAAAAAAAGTCTCCAGTGTCACTTTTTTTACAGGACTGTGAGTTTTTATATTGGGGTCTAGCTGCAGATTCCCTCAGACAGGTTTTCTAATTTTTTTTAGAGTCTACACTGTGAATGATTATCTCTGAACTAGTCTCATTGTTACTGATTTGTTATTGAGTTGATGATTTTTGGTGATTTTCATAAGGAATGATTAGGACTAATCAATTAAATGGAATTTTACAGGAACATCCTATCTTTTATAAAAGATAGTGCTGTAATGTTTTAAGTAGTCATAGAGATATTGTATTTAAAGTAACCATACAACCAGTTATGCTGCTAGACAAGGTACCATTGTTAGATTGTTCAGTAAGGATGATATATTGCCCTGTAGACCAGGTGTTTTAAAAGTTGCATTGTGAAAGGGTCTCAAAGCATGTTAAAATTAGAATGTGAGCCAAAGTTCTTGAGTCAAGGACACTGGAGGGTCTTTCTTTTAGATCAGTAGTCTGTGGTGGTCATATAAGCAGCCCCCCACTCATTTCAGGACTCAAGTGTGCATGACCAGAAAGAGGTGGGAATAAGAAAATGAGTTACAGGAATTATGTTTATGTATGAGAACTTAATTAATATTTATCACTGTGTCCTGTATTATCTGCATGCTACACGAGTTAGGTGTGTGTTGGTGGTGAGACTACTCCCCTATGCACCCGGCCATTAATAAAGGAGTGTCTACTTATTTACATCACATTGGTGTCATAAGTTCTTTTATCCCATTGGTGACATCATGGCTCAGTCACAGTACATGGAAAGTAACAGGCATTTTAGAGTGTTCTGTCTGGCAGAAGTGCATATTGCTTTAGAATGAGATGAATCATCTTGTGCTGTGCAAGCTGATTGACTAGATTACTGTTTACTACGAAGGGACCTAGCTAGCATCACTGGCTTGCACATCTCCATTTAGTCAGACCAATCTCGCCTCCTAATATCCTATTCCAAAGGAAGCAGGCTCCAGGGGGATCTCAGGCACTGAGCTACTCCTGCACTATGAGGAGTCACTTTAAAGGGTCTTGAAGTTGAAGAATGTGGAATTGAAGATCATTGTTGCTTTTTTCTAGAAGTCTTACAAGACTTCCTGCTTCCACTGAGAAAATACACTCTTGATATGATCACCATTCACTACTGCCTCACGTGGCAGTTCTTGAAAGCTGCTTCAACTGTTGCTGTAACTAATGAGATACTGGGAGGACACTAACAGTACTTGACAGATATTCTGCTCTTGCCTGACATGAAAGCAGGGAGTGCTGCTGCTCTTTAACGAACATCCACTCTGTTTCCTAGGGATGGCTACAGGGAGCTTTTAAGGTAGGGCAGCTGCTAACCTCTCTTCTGTTCTCACACTGAGCAGTCACAGGGATTTCCCTTAGCCATTGTTCCCTCTTCCTACAACACTATTACTCCCCCGCTCCCCTTACACTGCACATCACTTTAAGAACATTGTGGCATTTAGCAGTATCACAGTATTACCATGTAATGAAGGAATTTCACAGGTGTCCAGTGACAGGACAAGACAAAATGGACACAAACTGGAACACATGGAAGGTGTCCAGTGACAGGACAAGACAAAATGGACACAAACTGGAACACATGGAATTTTATCTGAATTTAAGAAAATTTTTCCAGTGAGGGTGGTTAAACACTGGGACAGGTTGCCCACAGCAGTTGTGGCATCTCCTGCCTTAGAGGTATTCAAAACCCAACTGGACAAAGTCCTGGGCAACCTGCTTTTGCTGACCTTGCTTGAGCAAAAGGGTTGCACTAGACAATCTCAAAAAGTCTCTTCTAACCTCAGTGATTCTGTAGTTCTGTGTCTCTGCTACTAGAATGAATACAAACCTGTCTGTGTATACACATGTTGAGTTTTTAAGAACTAAGTTCTCAAACTAGACCAACTACTACTATTTCAATTAAAAAGAGACTGAAGTCTAGCCCTAAAACAAATACAAGGCATCTGATTGCAGAGATTGTCAGAATATTAGACTCATAAACACTAAACATCTATAAGATCAAGGTTAAAAAAAAAGCAAAAAACAACAAACCAGACATAAAGATGTTACAAAAGTTACCTAGTCGGATATTAAAAATCTGATACAGATAAGAAGTCTGAACTTACCAAAGACTTAGGCAGTTTTATGTTCTTCTCCCTTAGTTTCTTGCAGCCACAACATACCGCCAAAATTAGACACAGGCTCAGAATAACACCACATGGAATTACGATATATTCTGTGCCTAAGAAGTTAAAGCAAGATCTGTTAGGGAGTTTGGATAAATAAACAACTACTGTATCATTTAGAATAACTTCAGAAACTGTAACAGAATCATAGAAACACAGAATGGTTTGGGTTGGAAGGGACCTCAAAGATGAACTAGTTCTAACCCCATTGCCATGGGCAGGGACACCTTCCACTAGACCAGGTTGCTCAAAGCCCCGAATAACCTGGCCTGGAACACTGACAGGGAGGGGGCAGTCACAGCTTCTCTGGTGTCTCACCACCCTCACAGTGAAGAATTTCTTCCTTATATCCAATCTAAATCTACCTTCTTCCAGTTTAAAGCCATTACCCCTTGTCCTACCCCTAAATGCACTTGTAAAAAGTCCTTCCCCAGATTTCCGGTAGGTTCCCTTCAGGTACTGGACGGCCGCTATAAGGTTTCCCCAGAGCCTTTTCTTCTCCAGACTGAACCCCAAGTCTCTCAGCCTGTCCTCACAGGGGAGGTGCTCCAGCCCACTGATCATCTTTGTGGCCCTCCTCTGGACTCACTCCAACAGTTCCATGTCTCCTTATACCGGAGTCCCTAGAGCTATATTCTGGGGAGGGGTCTCACAAAAGCAGGAGTAGAGGGGAAGAATCACCTCCCTTGATTTGCTGGTCACACTTCTTTTGATGTAGCCCAGGATGTGGTTGGCTTTCTGGGCTACAAACACACATCGTTGGGTCATGTTAAGCTTCTTGTCAACCAACACCTCAAGTTCTTCTCCTCAGGGCTGCTCTCAATCCACTCATCACCCAGCCTGTATTTGTGCTTGGCATTGCCCTGACCCATGTGCAGGACCCTGCACTTGGCCTTGTTGAACTTCATGAGGTTCGCACAGGCCCACCTCTCTAGCCTGTCCAGGTCCCTCTGTATGGCACATCCCTCCAGCATGTCGACCACAGCACACACCTTGGTGATGTTGGCAAACTCACTGAGGATGCACTCAGTCCCACTGTCTATGTCACCAACAAAGATGTTAAACAGTGCTGGTCCCGAGATTGGCCCCTGAGGAACGTCACTTGTCACTGCTCTCCACTTAGACATTGAGCTGCTGACCGCATCGATTTTGTGTGCGACCACCCAGCCAATTCCTTATCTACTGAACGGTCCATCTGTCAAATCCATGTCTCTCCAATTTAGACAAGGATGTTGGTCATGTGGGACAGTGTCACATGCTTTGCACAAGTCCAGGTAGATGACGTAGTTGCTCTTCCCTTATCCACCAATGCTGTAACTGCATTGTAGAAAGTCACCAAATTTGCCAGGCATGATTTGCCCTTAGTGAAGCCATTTTGGCTGTCACCAATCACCTCCTTACAGCTCAGAATGCTTGGCTGTAACATGTGAATTTGTCAAATTACCACCATTTTTCACTCAAAAAACCTTAAATATATGAAGCATTATATCCAGTAAGTAAAAATTAAAATGACAGAAGGTTTTCGATTTATATAAACAGAATCATGTTTTTATATAGGTAAAGGAATTTTATAGCTAATTTTTTGTTTCTTAGAGCTGACAGGGATGAACAGATTCATACATTTCCATGTGACAGCATATTAGCTGTCATAATAATTATATATAGTCTATGTATAATAAAAATAAAATGTGAAATCTTCCAAAACATTGAAGTTTTAATTATTACTAGCAAGATTCCACTACTCTGATTCTCCTTAATGTTCTCCCCCTCAATTATACTGCTGTTTCTTGTGCATAAAAGAAACAGTACAACTGCTTCTATCAATTTTATCTCTTTTTTCCAGTGAAGTTTTGAGACATAATGAAGTAACACTAAAAATTTTGTAAGAGATTATCAGAGATATAAAGTTGGGTCACTAGCTGCCTCTGTTCTCTTTAATAAAGAAAAAGACATTAATACCTAAATTTTATGACAAGTTTATAGTTACTTCAAACTCAAGAAAGTCTATATGCATTTTCCTCAGTAATGAGACTGAGCAAAAAGCCATTTGTTAGGAGAGAGAGAAAATGATTCTGAAAACCATATAACTTTGTGAATGATCCACCTGTCATTTGTTATTTACACCAATGATCAGGTGCAATGGAAACAGGTTTTGTAATACCAATGAAGCAGGAAAAGCACCCCAAAAATAATCAAGGTTACTTGTAAATAATATATGATCTTTAAGGGTCTTTAAAACTAGGCAACTGCATTTGGAAAAGAATGACCATGCTTTCCCTTTTCTCATATTCTCTGATAGGCATCTAAGTAATCTCATGGCTGTATCAGAGCTCAGATACTTAGCTAGATCAGATCTTTGGTCAGACTCAGTATGTTCTCACTAAAGTTTTAGAATCCTCTTACCCAATGTCTGCTTGAGAGGAATATGAATGCAGGTTTCTTCTGATGGGGCAAAAACTATCAGTTCACCATACAAACTTCCCTTTGCTGAAACACAGTAAGTGGAACCTTCCGCAGGAACTCGGATGTTGAGGCTGCATTTATACATGGTGCAGTTGTCTTCAGGGAGCTCTTCTTTACTCTGAAAACAACCCAGAAGTAACATTGTATCATTTGACTCAATACAATAACAGAAATATTACAGTACCTTCGAACACTTCAAAAAATGTTAAAACACTACTAGATGTGGTTCCTACACCATCTACATGACTTGCAAAAGCTGTCTGAACTTCAGCTGTTATACCACGGTGCTTTCAGCTAAAATACTGCTCATAGTCTCAATGTGCATTTTTAATTCACTTATAAAACTTATACCTGGATGCATATGAAAAAGTAACTGTAAATAAACACACCTACTATCATTTTCCTCAGGTTCACCTTCCATGACTGCTAAATAAAATGGTATCAGTATCTTGAAAGGTAATCTTATTAGATGAAAGGTCTATCTAGAGAACTGAAAGGGGCACAAGTAAAGTTACCAATGTTATAGCATGTACATAGAAACAACAGCATGGGATCAAGTAACTAGCTTGTGTACAAATAATGAACAATCTCATTTCTGTTATAAGACATCCAGTTGGACAACTAAAATCCAGACCTTCCAGTCATGTATCTCACTGTGATGCACTTGATATTTTAGTGCTTCAGGTAGTCCTATGCTATGTTCAACTGTTTTCTTGGTATCTCTTGGCTCTGCGTAATAGGAGTAAACCCCTTGTTTATGAGCTTAAGGTAAACAAGTATTTTTAATTTGAAGTTTTCATTCTGGGACTTACCGGATTTTTATGATCCCAAAACATCACCGTGTACACGAGCTCTGAATAAACATTTCTGATCCAAGGAGGGGACTCCACAGATGGAAATGGAGGATGATAAATATCAACTGTGATTTCATCACCATGCCTTGAGAGGTTCAGTTTTGGTGGTCCTATTTTTCCTGCAACAGATTGCACCTTTGCTATCAGGTCAAAGCTTTTAATATAAAATATACTATTTATACTTATCTTTTCAAAATTCATCAGATGAGAAGAATTACATTATTATTTCAATGCTGGTAATATCACACAGCTGTGACACTTAGAAGTAATGGAGGCTTTCGGATACATTCATGAATCTGCTTCTAAAATGGAAACACAGATTGTTTCTGCAGAATTTCACTGTTAAGCAACTGAACTTTCCTATACATGTAAGACCATAAAAATTCAGCTTACTGACAACAGAAGAAACTAACAAAATAAACATCTAGATGTGAATCAGAACAGAACACAAAATACTACTGACTAGATCCCATCATAAATCACACTCAGCTAAAACAATACTGTACTGAAACAAAGGCTATCTGAAAATCTAAACAAATCTCATCTTGAGCAATAGTACTTAGGAAGCCTGATTTCCCACGGCAATGGCCTATGTGAATTTTTGGTGTCCAATGATCTGTCTGAACATATGAGTTTCTTGTTCAATGGGAAAATGATTTTTTCTCTCCTCCATACATGGCTTCCAATTTTCTGCAAACTGCCAAACTGAGCATTATTACCATGACTTCTGTCCCTTTGCCTAGAAACCAGCCACTGATTCCAAATCATGGGAGTACTGGGTGGGGAGGGACTCGTAGCAGAAAACAAGGAGGGACTTCACTTATTCAGCTCCAGCAATGCAGAAATCTAGCTCTATCTAAAGCACAGCCCAAGTCAGGGAAAATGTCCTGCCTGAAAACTATACATTGAGAATGGAGCAAGTACAAGAGGAAGTCTCTCAAGTCTTTTCTCACTGTTCTAGCTGCTTTTCACTGTCCATGTAATGCTGGGGCCTGCCCCACTGTTTTGGGCAGGCTGGCCTGGAGTCCAGACACACAATTTGATTTTACAATACTGATCTGAAAAACTGTAATTTCTTCTGAAGCAGCCCAAAGGATTTACATGAAAAATGAGTAACTGTTAAGTTACCCAGCTACAGTGGACTCCCATAGCTTCTAGATACTATCTAGACAGCCAAAGCTGTCAGTACATGAGATTATAGCGTCCAGCAAGGCATCACCAACTACCTGAATACTACTTCAGTGATGCCTAAAAGTTCACAGCTTCCAGCATCAGTTTCCTACCCTAAAGTGGCATCTGGGACACCAGGCAAGGACACGGGAAGGATGCAGAGTGCACCACCAGCATCGCTTTCTTGCCTTTAGAAGTTTTGAAAAAAATATTCAGATACCACAGTGACAGGGCTAGCAAGTCACTACAGAGGCATATCTAGAGAAGTTCCTATGGAACAGTCATCATGCTTCATTTCATCCTGGACTCCTAACTTTATGATATTCCCAAATGAGACACAGTAATACAGCAAAAAGAATAATTACTAACTTTTTTAATTTGGGGAAAAAAATTATAAGGTTTAGTTTAGGATGGAACTTACCATGCTTTTGCAGAATAAACTCATTTGTCTCAACATACTCAGACTGTTGTGACCCAACAACAGCTTTAACTCTAAGCCAGTGAGAGGTAAAAGGGTCACTTATTTCCCTTGAGAGATCACAAAAATGAGCTGAAATATTCACACAGGTAGAGACGATCTTGTAGTAACCTAAACTGTAAAACAGATAGGTAATAATTAATAAAAAATAATATAAAGTATTAATACAATTAATACAACTGCATGATATTGTACGATACACTGCTTATAACAAAACATCTGTGAGGGTGACTGAGCACTGGCACAGGTTGCCCAGGGTGGCTGTGGAGTCTCCATCCCTGGAGATATTCAAAAGCCATCTGGACATGGGCCTGGGCAACCTGCTCTAGGTGATCCTGCTTGAGCAGAGGGGTTGGCAGATGACCTCCAGAGGTCGTCCCTGCCAACCTCAACCATTCTGTTATTTGACAGATTTTGCCTTAATTTACACTTAGGCAACCTTCACCCTACATTACTTCACCACATAAAACCAAAAGAATTTACCCTGGACTGATTGCTTTTATATGCTTCTAGAGACTATCAGGTACATGAAATGACAAAGGAGTGAGAACTTACGTGTAAGGTTTGATTTCCACAATAAAATGAGGAGTTTCAGACATATGTGGGTACTGCCAATGCAATACAGTTTTGAAATTTTCAGATGTTACTACGATCTGCATTGGTGAAGGCACTAGAAGAAACAGAACAATTGCACTTCGATAAACAGATCTAGTCAAACATAAGAACAGCTCAATATATTTCTAAATTATTTGGAAAAGGAAAGATGCTAGAAATGACTGGAAAAATTAGACATAAAAATTGCAAATACTTCCCCCCAAATGGGGTGTGTGTGTGTGTGTGTGTGTGTGTGTATCACCAGTATGAACACATATGAGCCCTGTAAGATAATTATTCTTCTGTCCTACAGAGACAGCTTTCTTCCTGTTTACAACCCAGAATCTCAGATAACCCCTGCCCATTGAAAGAGAGTACATCAGATAGACCATATCAGGTTTCATAAGCTGTGATGATTATACCCATGTTGGTATTACACAGATACAGCAGCAAGACAGATAGCATGAATTTAGTGAAGATAGAGATTAGCCCAGCTCATGTAAATTTCTATTGCTCTCCAGAAACTGAACTGGGCTGAGGGGAGTGGCAGGGGGGGAGAGGACACCAAAGCTGCTGTATCATGGTCTGTGCTCCACGGGAGTCCTACTGAATCCTACTGTCTCCTGACTCAGCCTTGCCAAAAGACACCAGGCCTGCTGGGGAAAGCCTGGATTCAACATGAATTTCCAACAATGCCATTTTTACCACTTGAGAGCATTTTTAAAAAGCTGTGGTGATAATAAACCAATGTTTGTAAGGAATCTGAACACTGAAGCTGTAATGTAGTTCCATATACAGGAAAGCATTTGAAGTATATTTAGTAAACAACATCAAATTAATGTAGTAAGGAAACTAAAAAGCAGCATTGATAGTTTCCTCATACAGCAAGCTTCTGTCTCAAGCATCGACAGTGACAGAGATATCAGGGGAGCAGCTGCAGGGGAAGGAAAATTACATGATCCTGTTACTACTCAAGGTTGGCACATGGCATTCAGAAGAAAAAATTAAGGTCACTCAACAGACTTTAACTGTTAATTCTTAGCTTCTCAATGTCTGGTTTGGCATCCTTAATGTTGTCTTAATATAGCTTTTGTGAAATGTTGACAGATAACTCATATTTGACCTGCTCTAGACTGCTGTCTGTTCACAAAACAAGTGCTCCAACTTCACTCTGTGATATATTGAGAGAAAGTAAGCAGTTTTCACATCTTGCTAACAAGACCACAAAGATAACACTCTACAGAAAGTAACACACAGAGGCTGAGATATGCTATTAACCACGAAGATTTGATACATGTAACATACATCACTCTGCAAATGATGCTGTGGTTTAGTTATGTTTTAATATATACAAAAGTGGTATTTCAGTTATCGGAAAAAAGGAACACAATCACCTCAACCACAAGAAAAAAAAGGTGACAAATTGACACAAGAGGTATCAAAGTACATAAATGTTGCCCAAATATTTAATTTTAAGGCAGTGTATGTCTTGCAAAATTTTACTTTTGTGTACAAATACAAATAAAACTATGCTTAACAAAGGAATGAAAAGTGAAATCCCAGAATATACTTGAACTGCCAGAAGCAGCTACATGACTTTTAGTTATGCAATTACATAGCACTTTGCATTCTCCTCCCCTCATTCTTCCTCCCATCTCCACATTTTTGTTTTATTTTGTACACAGACAGTTGCTACCCTGGGATTCAAAACAGCAAACTAAGCTACTCAGGAAGCTACGTAGCAGTGTCATCTGGCAACCTGCTTTTGAGGTCCTAAGGGTCCATGAGTGCTGGTCAATTTTTAAGAAGCACCTTTTAGAAGCACAGGAGCGGGCAATCCCGTGGTGTTATAAGTCAAGCAAGCAGGGCAGACCAGCTTGGCTGAACAGGGAACTCTTTGTGGAGCTCAGGAGGAAGAAGAAATTGTATGATCTCTGGAAGCAAGGTCAGGCTTTGCAGGAAGATTAGAAAGTGACAGTTTGCAGGGAGAAGACAGAAAAGGCCAAATCTGAACCTACTGTTTAAAGTGGCCAGTGTTGTTTCAAATAACAAGAAAGGCTTCTCAAAGTATGTTAATAATAAGTCTAAGGGAAACCTTGGACCAATACTTGTCGAAGATGGTCACCTGACTAATAGGGATGAAGAAAAAGCAGAGGCATTCATTTTTTTTATTTTTTTTTTTCCTCAGGCTTTAACAATACTGATAGATCTTGGGATGCCTGGTCCTCTGAGTCAGAGGACCCGAAGTGAAGGAACAGTGATTTACCATTTGTGGACATTGAAATCATAAGGGGCCAGCTGTATCAGCTGAACGTTCATAATAAGTCCACGCAACTTGAAGGGATTCACCCCAGAGCACTGAAGGAACCAGCAGATGTTACAGTAGGACTCCTCTCAATCACAAACCAGAGGTCTGGGGAGGTCCTGGCTGACTGGAAGCTAGCCAGCACTACGCTAATTTACAAGGGTGTGAGGGAAGACCCAGGAAACTACAGACCTGTTAGTCTAACCTCAATATCTGGAAAAATTAGGGAGAAGATCATACGAGGTGCTACTGAAAGACATTTAAAGAACAATGCAATCACCAGGCATAGCCAACACAGGTTCACGAAGAGAAGTCCTGTTTAACTAATTTAATATCCTTCCACAATAAGGTCACCAACCTAGTGGATGAAGGGAAGGCAGTGGATGTAGTTTTTCTGGATTTTAGTAAGGCTTTTCATACTGTTCCTCACAGCATTCTTCTGGACAAAATGTCCAGCTGTGAGATCAGCAGGTACCAGTGCTCTAGGTGAAGAAGTGGCTGAACAGCAGGGCTCAAAGGGCTGAAGTGAATGGGGCTGCATCTGGGTTGCGACCAGTCACCAGTGGTGTTCCTCAGGACTCAATTCTAGGGCCTCTTTTGTTCAATATTTTACCGATGATCTGGATGCACCATTAGCAACTTTGCCAATGAGACTAAACTGGGAGGTATTGTTGACTCTCTCAAAGCATGAGATGCCTCGTAAAGGGATCTATATAGATTCGAGCACTGGGCAATGATAAACAGGGATTTAACAAGCCCAAATGCCAGATTCTGCACCTGGGATGGAGTAACACTGGCCACAAGCATAAACTGGGAAAGGAGTGGTACAGTAACTTAAAACTCTGAAGTACTTATGAATGCTGAGTGACCAAATAGAGCTAAAAGGAATCTACCAAGTCGCTCCTCTACAGCTCCATGAAAGACTACTCAACCTAATTCTCCACTCTTTCATACAGAGGTGATTTTTAACATGCTACAGCTCTAAGACTATAAAGAAACTAGCAGAAAAAGACTATAAAGGAACTAGCAGAAAACAAGATTTCCTCAAGAAAAGACAATTTTCTTCACAAACTATACCACCACATAAACCACCTTACCAGCCACCAGCAACATCACCACCAATATGTCAAGATCTCCAATGGCACTACAGATTGGCCTTGAGGTCCTACAGAAACAAGTTTACACATACCACCAGCTCATCCTTTTCATCCTCACTTTTAACAAGTTTGCTTTCAGTGATCAATTTAAGCACTAGCTTCCTCTCTGATCTTTCACTCCATATCCTCGACAGACCTAAAGGACATGTTTCAGCATGAGCTGAGAAGCTAAAACTCTACTTACAAACAAAACCCAGTATAGAAACAGATTTATAGCACACCTCATCTCATTAACTTTTCCGTATTTCACAGGGCAAGAATTATGCCCCTTTTTCTAACGGATGACACCTTATTACTCTTTCTACCACTTCCCTTATTCCTTACAGGCACCACCATCTTGTCTCTCAAGTGGTCTTATGTATTTATTTTTGAGTTTTGCTGGTTCTACTTAAAAGCCAAAGATAGCCTGAAAGCTCATTTCCTTTCCTTAATTACACTGGTTAATTTCATGGAAGACTATCTCCACCTGCAAACCTTGCCTAACCAATCTGAGTGACCTAGGACCTTATTCTTTAGGTCATTTAGCAATGTCACAGAAACTTAGCACAAGTGACAGCATCTTAAGATGCAGAAGTGAGTGCTCAGCAGTGCAACAGTTCAGACCAAAGACACTAATACCAAGCACAGAGAATGGATCAGCTTGCGATCACCCATGGAAAGTATTTTTAATGCCTTGGTCAGGTAATTCTAGTCCCTTTTTTCAGGTTTGCTACCTCTCCTGCATGTCCCTCTCCAACCAATCAAATGGTCTTCATTTTCCAGCCCACAGCCCCTTTTCTCAGACTGTCTATCTGACTTCTAATGGTTTCTCCTCCAGCCAGTGAAGAGACAGGGCCTTGGGACACATCAACCTCATTTCATTCCAGTATCAAGACTACAGACCATAGAGAACATTGCAGATTTGCAATGTGCTAAAGTCTAATCTTCATAAATGCTATTTCTGCATATTGCCAGTTAAAATGCCATAATACTTTATGTGAACACTTTTACTTAACCTATAATGAACCATTAATTTTTTAAATATGTTACACCCCATCCTACATTGTTCATCAGGCACAACTGGAGGAAAATGATAGTGACTAGTGCCACAATGGTAACCTTTAAACATAAAACTCCTCCTAATTTATAATAAACATAAATTCAGCACTACTCAAAGTGCAAATTCAAACAGTGAGAACCTAAGTGTGGAAAAAGTGAGAAGAAAATTGATCAGCAAATCATGTTGTGATGCACAATACGGGACACCCAAATTCTAGTTTGCCTCCAGTTCAAACGTAGTGATTTCCATCCACAGTTAGCTCTGTCCACCTTGAGTTGTAAGTCAGCAATACTGGCTGACAGAAGGGCTGAGACAATAGCAAGAACATTTTTTTCACAGGAATACAGAAACTGAATTGTGTATGTGCAATGTGGAACAACATAAGAGGAACTTCAGACAGCGGCTCTATGTGCATAGAACAAAGGAATAAATGGCAAAGGTAGGCCTGTAAAAGGAACAAGCTTTAGAAAACTGTTTTCTCTTAGGATATTATTAATAGCAGGAATAATTAATAAATAGATAGTTTGTAATTAATAGATATTGTTTGCAATAGAGCACAGGTGCATTGTAATGCA